AACCACCCAAACCAACTATGTGAAGGATGTCTAATTGGGAAGCAATTCCGGAAAAGCTTTCCAAAGGAATCAACATCAAGAGCGACAAAACCACTAGAGCTCATACACACTGATGTCTGTGGACCAATCAATCCAAACTCTTTTGGTAAGAATAAATACTTTCTCCTATTTATTGATGATTATTCTAAAAAAACATGGGTTTATTTCTTGAAGGAGAAGTCATAAGTGTTTGAAAACTTTAAGAAGTTCAAAGCCCTTGTGGAGAAAGAAAGTGGTCTTTCTATTAAGGATATGAGATCTGACCGAGGAGGAGAGTTTACTTCAAATGAGTTCAACAAATATTGTGAAGAGCATGGAATCCGCCGCTTACTAACAGTGCCAAGATCGCCACAAAAAAATGGAGTAGTGGAGAGAAAGAACCGGACCATACTTAATATGGTGCGAAGCATGCTTAAGAGTAAGAAGATGCCGAAAGAGTTTTGGGCCGAAGCAGTGGCATGTGCGGTTTACCTGACAAACCGTTCCCCAACAAGAAGTGTGTATGAGAAGACACCATAAGAAGCATGGAATGGAAGGAAGCCATGGATATCTCACCTCAAAGTGTTTGGAAGCATTGTATATACCCACGTTCCAGATGAAAGTAGAACAAAGCTCGATGATAAAAGTGAGAAGTATGTATTCGTGGGTTACGACTCAAGCTCCAAAGGGTACAAGCTCTATAATCCAAATAGCGGAAAGATTGTCATAAGTCGTCACATGGAGTTCGAAGAAAAAGATTGTTGGGGTTGGAGTGTTTAAGAAGACAGGTATGATTTTCTTCCTTATTTTGAAGAAGAAGATGATGAAATGGAACAACCAATGATAGATGAACATATTACACCACCTGCCTCACTGACACCAAGGTTGGATGAAACAAGCACAAGTGAGAGGACACCACGATTAAGGAGCATTGAAGAGCTTTATGAGGTAACCGAAAACCAAAATGACATTAACCTCTTTTGTCTTTTTGGTGATTGCGAGCCTCTAAGCTATCAAGAAGCTGTTGAAAACGTAAAGTGGAGAGATGCCATGGATGAAGAAATAAAGTCAATCATGAAGAATGACACGTGGGAACTTACTACACTTCCACGAGGACACAAAGCAATTGAAGTAAGATGGGTGTACAAGGCGAAGAAGAATGCAAAAGGAGACGTGGAGAGATACAAAGCAAGACTGGTGGCAAAAGGCTATAGTCAAAGACAAGATTTTGACTATGATGAGGTATTTGTCCCCGTTGCTCGTCTTGAAACTATTAGATTGATCATTTCTTTGGCAACCCAGAATGAATGGAAGATCTATCAAATGGATGTGATGTCGGCCTTCTTGAATGGTTTTCTCGAAGAAGAAGTTTATATCGAGCAACCACAAGGATATGAAGTAAAAGGGCAAGAAGAAAAAGTCCTTAAGTTGAAAAAGGTGTTGTACGGACTCAAGCAAGCACCGAGAGCTTGGAATGTTCGAATCGACAAGTACTTTTGAGACAAGAACTTTATCAAGTGTTCATATGAGAATGCATTCTATATTAAAGCGCAAAGTGGAAATATTTTGATCGTGTGCTTATATGTTGATGACTTGATCTTCACTGGAAACAATCTACGCATGTTCGAAGAATTCAAGAAAGACATGTCAAATGAATTTGAGATGACAGATATGGGGCTCATGACACATTATCTTGGCATTGAAGTAAAGCAAGAAGACAAAGGAATTTTTATCACCCAAGAAGGCTATGCAAAAGAAGTCCTTAAGAAGTTCAAGATGGATGATGCTAATCCGGTTGGCACCCCGATGGAATGTGACAGCAAGTTGAGTAAGCATGAAAATGGAGAGATTGTGGATCCAACTCTTTACAAAAGTTTGGTTGGAAGTTTACGTTACTTGACAAGTACAAGGCCGGATATTCTCTATGTTGTAGGAGTTGTAAGTCGTTACATGGAAGCTCCAACAACAACTCACTTCAAGGCGGCAAAGAGAATCCTTCGATATATCAAAGGTACAACAAACTTTGGCTTACACTATTACTCTTCTAACAATCATGAAATTGTTGGCTATAGTGATAGCGATTGGAGTGGAGACTTGGACGATAGAAAGAGCACTACTGGTTTTGTGTTCTTTATGGGAGATACTGCTTTCACTTGGATGTCAAAGAAGCAACCTATCGTCACACTGTCAACTTGTGAAGCCGAATATGTTGCCGCTACATCATGTGTTTGCCATGCAATTTGGCTAAGGAACTTGTTGAAAGAGTTAAAAATGGCACAAGAAGATCCTATGGAAATATATGTTGACAATAAATCAGCACTTGCTTTGGCAAAGAATCCTGTATTTCATGAAAGAAGTAAACACATCGACACCCGTTACCACTTTATAAGAGAATGCATCGAGAAGAAGGATGTGAAGTTAAAATATGTGATGTCTCGAGATCAAGCTGCCGACATTTTCACCAAGCCACTCAAATTGGAAACGTTCGTAAAGTTAAGGAGCATGCTTGGAGTCACAAATCAAGTTTAAGGGGGGATGTTGAAAGATTAAACTTGATTTGGGTCTAAACATATTATTTGAACTTTTGGGCTTAGTTATTTTGGACTTAGGTAATTTTAATTAATGTTTTTAGAAAACTCTTGTAATGTTTGGAATGTCTTAGATATTTCTTAGGGTTGTAATATTCTTTAGAATGCTCTTGGAATTTCTAGAGTTGAGAACTCTCTAGAATTAGTGTGTCTAGAGTTCTCCTTAGAGTACTATAAATAGATATGTAATTATACACTTTTGCATCAAGAAAAATACAAAGTTCTTTCTTCCATAAATAATTCTTCTACCTATCAAATTTTTCTTTAAGCCTCTAATATTCCCACACATTTTTCCTAAACATAAAAGGTCTTATTTCCAACAGGGTGACTTGATTCGGAAGAAACTTAAGGTATCATGTAGATGACTAAAATGTTCTCATAAATAACACTCTAAATGGTTGGTTCAGTAGATATAATACACAACATCCAAGTGGTAGATTGGGGACAAAACCCAGTAATTTCAAAAAAGATAGGGTCACGGTCATAAATGAGTAACACAGATAGAACCATAATAGCATTAGTGTAAAAGATAACACTCCATATAAGCAAAAACACATTTAACACATTTACAGACACGAACAAATCGAAAACTCAGAAGAAATTGGTGTCATAATTATCAAAGCTATATGTGTCCATTATTGCCATAAACTAAGCATATGCAACAGTAAAATACCTAGGTAACAGTCATTTAAAAGACTGTGGTGTGCTATCACATCAAGTAGAAAACAATAAAGTAATATCTAATATGACTTTTGGCCCTACATTTGTTATCCAGTTAGAAATATTCGTTGAAAATCAGCTCTAGGAAAATGAAATTTTCAATAGAGTAGTTTCATTTGAAAGTAAATGAATATATTATGGAGCAATAGAATAGAAAAAAACCCATCTTTAGATGCCATAATGAAATTGTATATTAAATATAATGAGATTAACGAAGCCATTTTGAAACTAAGTACTATGTTTGACATATCAATGAAATATGAGACATCCTCCTCATATAATAGGTGAGCAAAATATGTGAACAATTATGTACTTTAAAAAAACAACTTTAGCACATCTAGTATTTGAACACACATACAGTTTCCACATTTAGAGATGTTCAAACAGTGCTTCTATTTTAAAAATATAGGAGTAACTATCTGCTACATGGTATTTGCACACACCATAAATATTAAATGAAATTTGAGAATACATTAATGGCAGAAAACATTGAAATATGAGAATACAGATAAGGCAAAAAAACATTTCAAAACATACATGAAGGCACCTTTTATATATGGATTATGCAATACTGAGATTTAATGATCTTAATATTTGAAGACAAACATGAAGACAACTTTTACATTTTATGAAGAAATTCTTAAGCATGAACAAAACCATAACAAATATATAAGTATCAAACATCATGAAGAATATGTTTTATGAATAAATGCATATATTATGCTACAAATCTGTAACTGTGTAACATCATGAAACGGAAATAAAAATGAAAGAGGTAAAAAAATGAAATCTTGAATAACAAATGTATAAGTTACATCCTTAAGTAACAAACGTACAAGTTCGATCCAAAACATCCAAATCTTGAGTAAATGCAGGAGATTCGGAAAAAGGGACAATTCTATTGGTTATGAATTTTTTATTTAATAAATTACCATTAAAGACAATTATTAGTGTAAATAAAAAGTTATTAAATGGTAGTTTAGGGTGTTAATGGGCATGTTACATTAATAGGTAGGTAGTTAAAGAGATATTCAAAGAGAATATGGTCAGATTTGAGTGATTCTCGAAACTCACAATTTAAATTTATTAATTGATGACAAAAATATTAATACAATTAATTTAGAGATAAACAAACAAAAGAAATCAACATTAAGTGAAACAACCCATATAAATGTAGGAATAAAGATAAATATATTGCAAACATAGAGAAGATATGTGCAATTGTATATCAATATCTTTAGACTATATTAATTTAAAGCTTGAATTTATTTATTAATAAATTAATATAAATAAATGACATGATATAAAATAATTAGGTGATAGATCCATATCTAATTAAATCATAAAATGTCATTGTGCTCACTTAAATATCATTATATAACCAAAAAGGAAAAAAAAACTTATATAATCATATATATGTAAAATATAAAGTAATATTACATTTGTATTATGCACCAATAAAGTTGGCTAATTTACATCCACAAATCATTAATTAACAAACAATAACTAGATTTGATAATAATATCTCTAGACTTCGAACTCAAACCTTACACTAATGTGTAAGGTTTTTAGGGGTTATTTCTACTTTATCTATACATTAAAATATAGCTTATGCACTTATCAATAATAAAATTTTTCTCATTATAAAAATTTGGATATTATACCCTAACCACTTTAGCCTATAGTTCCAATTACGTTCTTAAATTTAGTAGGAAATGAAGTGGGTGTTGGGACTATTTGTGGAGTCTTAGGAGGACCCTCAGTTTTTTCCATATCAGTAATGATGTCCAAACAGTTTCCTCCCAACTGAAACACAGCATCAGAGTCATTAGAAAAGGAGAACTCCTTCTCCATCCCTTCAAATGCATCCTTGCAAGATGCTTGGTATGACAAAACAGAACTGAATTGCATCTTGGCTGTACTAAAATCTTGATTCTTGATTGCTTCTTTGGTTTGTTTGATAGCATCCAAAATACTACTGTATTGATCCTTGCATATAGCAAGAGAATCCTTCAATGATTTGGAACCCTTGTGTTTGGCAAGTGATGTACCAATGACATCTATAGTTTTTACAGTTTGTTCATGAGTCGCATCAACTTCAACTTCGAGAGCCTGAAGGGGAGTAACTTCTCTCTTGAGGAAGTGTGGTTTAATTGTGTCTAGACAAAGTTTAGGGTTCGTGGTTTTATGGCAGAGTGCCACGAGATCAGATCGGAGATCGTGTTCTACAACGTGGAGATCCTTTGAAGACTCCACGTTGCCAACAAAGAGGAATGAAGTTAGGGTTAGAGCAAAGCTGAAGAGGATTGTTTTACTTGTGAAAGCCATATTGTTGATTGTTGAGGATTTGAGACAATGAAAAAGTCTTTGAAACTAGGAACAAGGTAATATATAAAATGAGAAAAGGATAATGATAAATATAGCTAGTTATTATTGGCATTTCATAGTTTTATAATAGATGATCTTTTACTATAATAGTTGTATTCCATTAGAATAGATTGGTGTTCCTAATAATATGGATTTTCTAATGGTAAAACTAGTTATAATATAACCAATGGTATTCAACAACTTCTAAGACAAAAGAGAAAATGAAATATTGTAAACTAAGAATAACTTATGGAGAGTTGATATATGTTTTTTTTAGAATATTGAAGAAATTGAAATGGTCAAGAAAACATCATGAGAGAGAAGTGGAGACATTAAAAATTCTATGGTAAATATATGCTAAACAAAATAACATGGGAATGTCAATTTTAGCATAAAATCTAGTCCAACCATAAAATATATAGAAATTTACAAAGTATAACAGGTAAACACTTGCATGTTTTTTTTTAAGATTTTGCACTTGTCTTTTGAAATTATGTTTCATAAATCTTTATTTCATTCATCCTAATTTCATAAATCCACATATTTGAAGGTGGAAAAAATTATGCTTCATTTTTAAAGGGAAGCTATTTGAAATAGTTGAAAAATGTTTCTACTAAAAGACTAAAATTTTTTAGAAGCAATAATGTAATTGACTAAGATATGGTAAGATCCTTATCAATCAACTTTGTAAATAGAAAAAGTTAGCTAAAGACTAAACCAATGTAACAAAATGCATTATAAAAGTTATATACATTAGTTATTACACAAAAGTGTGAAGAACATGACAATATTTTAAAACAATGATTGGATTATATTGTATATATTTCATTAGTGGTTTTTTTTTGTTGTCAAATTTGCAGTAGTAGTTGGCAACATAATTTTAAACTATGGTTGCGGTCGCGGTCGAGATCATTATAATTACTAAAATGTGTATTGAGGCCGTTATTAAAATTAAAATATTTAAAAGTAAAGCAACCGAAACCATTATATATTTATCCACAATAACATAGATATGCACTTGAGAGATTTTAAAAAGTAACATGTTTCATTAAATTTAAAGTTGATTGAGATTTAGGGTTTTTGAAAATTTAGTTTTGAGTAAGAAGATTTGATCCAACATGGTTCAAATTGTCTCATGTGCAGTTACGTTGTGTTCTCATGTGTGATTGAAGATGTGCAGTATGACGCAATGCTAGTATTGAGGCTTCCACAATAACAATATTAAATTGTAGATGTGAGCTTCAATTCAAAACTATTTGAAAGTACAAATATATAATCATTTATCATAATCAAAACAAAAAGCAAGGTTTATATCTATTACCAAAAGCCTATACAAGTAATTCACCATAATACTTTTTTTCGTGCATGATATATTTGTAGTTCTTTGTGGGGTAAATTGACTTGTGGTTGAAGTTTTTTCCTTACGATGAATACTAGTGGTGGTATTCTCTCAATTTGATATAGTGTGAAAGGAAATGTAATCTTTTCGTTCTCTTTGACAAAGTATCTTTGGGTTTGTCTTGATTGGGGATTGAATGCTCGACCCTATTTTGTGGTCAATGTTTACGCTAAGTGCTCTCTAGTAGAGAAAAAAGTGATGTGGGATCATATGGTTTGAGTTCATAATCTATTCTCGGGGTCTTTCTAGTATGTTTTGGGAGACTTAAAAGCAACTCTGAATTAATTTGAGAGTAAGGGTGTTTCAATGGGGATCTAGGATTTTCCCTCACAGTGTCCTTAAAACTTAGTGTTTTTATTGCGAATATAGAGTTAATGGAATTACATTTGCTGGGAAGGAGGTTTACCTAGTTTCATTCTAATGGTATCTCTATTCCATAATAACAATATTGAGATTAAAAATGTAGATGCGAAATGTGATTTAAACTATTTGAGAGTATAAGAACATAACTATTTATCACAATAAAAACAAAATCATGGTTGATATATATTAGCAAAAGACTATACAAGTAATTCACCATAGTAATTTTTTGTCTCCTGCATGATATATTTATAGTTCTTTGTGGGGTAACTTGGCTTGTGGTTGGAGTTTCTACCCTATGGTGGGTGTTGATAGTGGTATTCTCTCAATTTGGTGTAGTGGAAAAGAAAATGTGGTCTTTTAGTTCTCTTGGCTAGGGTGTCTTAGGGTTTGTCTTGACTGGGGATTGAATGACCGACCCTTCTTTGTGGTCAATGTTTATGCTAAGTGTTATTTGGCAGAGAAAAGAGTGACGTGGGATCATATGGTTTGAGTTCATAGTTGATTTTCGGGGTTTATCTGGTGTGTTTTGGGAGACTTCAAAGAAATTTTGAATCAATATGAGAGAAAAGGTGTCTTAATGGAGGGGTCCAGAATTTGTCCCTTGCAGAGTCCCTGGAACTTAGAGCTTTTATTGAGACTATAGGGTTGATGGATTTACCTTTGTCGGGAAGGAGTTTTACCTGGTTTCATTCTAATGGTGTATCTATGAGTAGGCTGGATCAGGTTCTTTTATCAGCGGGTTGGGAAGAGGAGTGAGGTTTGGTTAGTCTGTAGGATTTATCCCGAGATGTCTCTGACCACTGTCCAAAATTTTAAAAGTATTCCTCTTAGCTTTTGGGTCCTAAACCCTTTAGGTTAAACAATTTTTGGTTAAGGGACGCTAACTTTAAGAAGTTGGTCTATGAGTCCTGGAAGTTAGAGGTTCGCGAGGGTTGGATGGCATGTAAGTTGAAGGATAAATTGAGAGGTTGATAAAAGTAACAAGTGTACTAGTATGTATCGAAGTAATAATAAAAAATTTGTCTCCACGAGGATTCGATTTTAACAAGGAAAATGAGTGTGAGTTAACATAACACAGTGGAGGGTTTTTTTAAAAATTGTTTGTTTGATTTGAAACTAAGATAAAATTAACTTCGTAAAAGAAACGGTGACAAAGGCGATTAGGTATTTTTGTTAGAATCCCCTACTTTATTGATAAAATGTGCATTTACATACACGAAGAGACATAATAGTTGCACAACAGATTACCCTTACCATTGCATCTAATTCCTTGATGTGCATCTCACTAGTCTAAGCGTAAATTCCCCAATCCCTCAGGCTAATTGAAACGTCAAACTAGGCACTATAACGTATTAATCCCTAAGTCAAAATTTCTAATTAGACTATCCCTAGTTGATTAGAGAAATTTACAATTATCCTATTTCCGATAAGCATCCATATAGTCAATATGTCAATACTTACCTAGATCAAATTGCATGTTGTAACATACAATAGGCAATGAACATAAGCGATAATTGAATAATAACAATTGTCAAAGCAATAATATTAACATCCTCCACTCATATGTTTCAATAGAATAAAAATAGGTTCATCATACAAAAAGACCTAACCTAGGAGAAATCTAGCTACTCGTAGTGTAAAATAAATATACCATGCGCCAAAAGCACCAAAAATTGTCATTTTCTTCACTACTCATAGTGTAAAATAAATATACCATGCTCTCTAATGGCTCAAATAGCCTCCAAAAGCACCAAAAATTGTCATTTTCTTCACTATCAATCTTCGAATTCGAAACCCCCCAAAAGTGGCCAAAAAATCCTTTTAATAGAAAAAGCATGCCACTTGAAAAAGCAATATTGCATCTGCGACATTCAATATTGCACGCATGAGAATCCCAATAGTGAAACATACGTTTTTTCTCCTTTTTCTTCATAATTTGACTAAGTTTTTTTATATTCCTTGTATTGGCTTTTTGCTCAAATCTTCATACATTAACATGGTTTTTTTTATCATTCTTCTTCCGAAATTACCCAAACTTCTTCCTAAAAATCACGTAATGATAACTGCCGTTAGAGTTCTCAAATGAGATTCTTAAGGTTTGGAACAAGGAGGTGTTTAGTAACTTGGATTTTAAGATTAAGGTTTTTTCTAACAAACTCTAGGAGCTAGAGCTGAAAGTAGAGTCTGCATTTCTTTTTCCAAAAGAGTTGGTCAGTAGATCGAGGGTGTGTCAAGAATGGGACCTAACCAGGTGTCATGATTATCAGATTTTTCAGAGGTCTATACTGACTTGGTTGAAAGAGGGGGATGCTAATTCCGGTTTTTTATGTTTGTGTTAGGTAGATGAGTAGGAGGAATAATTTGGTTGCTCTTTGGGTTGGAGACTCTTGGTTGAATAAGGTTCCTAAGGTTAGCGGGGAGATTACTAGGTTCTTCAGAACCATTTTTCTAATTCAGAGGTTATTAGGCTAATTCTTAATGGGGTTTCTTTTCCCTCTATTTCTTCGACTGAGGTTGATCCCTTTCGGTAAGATTGTTTCCTTCAGAGATGGACGATGTTGTTGCGGAGATTGACGTACAAAAATCTCAGGGCCTGGTGGTGTTAATTTTAATTTCTATAAGAATTTTTTAGATTTAATCAAGGAAGAAATGTTGTGATGTTTGATAATTTCTTTCAAAATGTGATGTTTCCCAATAGTTTGACATCCTTTCTTGAAAGTGGAGTGCCCTTTCAAATTGGGAGATTTTAGACCAATTTCCCTGCTTGTGTCCCTGTATAAGTTGGTGGCTAAAATGTTGGATTCCAAGATGGATAGAGTTATGGGGAAGCTTATCTCCCTAGAGTAATCGGATTTTCTGAAGAGGATGTAGTGGTTGCACTTAATGAAGTTTTACATCTTGCTAAGGTGTCAAAACCTTAGTGTTTTTTTGTTTAAAGTAGATTTTTGGGAAGCATACAACTCAGTTAGTTGGTCATTTCTAGATTATATGATGTGAATATTTGGTTTTGATGATCGATAAAGGTCTCAGATGTGTGCATATGTTTTTTGGGTAGCCTTTTAGTGTTGGTGAATGAGTTCCCAATGGAGGAAATTTCTATTAAAAAATTCTCAATCAAGGAGATCTATTAGCTCCTTTTCTTTTCTTTCTGGTATTGGAGGTTCTTAATGCTTCTTTGAAAAAGGCAGCTTCGATTGGT